ACATAGGGGAGGGGCTCAGACTTGCATTTTAGGAAGAACCCTTGGCTCCTCCGTGGAGACTGGACAGGAGAGGGCAGCCTGAACGCAGGGACACCCCTCATGAAGCTGTTGAGGGATGATGGCAGTGGGCATGAAGATCGAAGACCAAGTTGAGAACTATTCAGGATGTAGAAGTGAAGAAATTGGCAGCATTTGGGGACTGGCTGGCCACTGAGGGAGGAGGGGTCTAGAGTGACGGCAGGGCTTGGCCCTGGAGGTGGAGCTGGCAGAGACTGGGGGATGAGAGGAATGAGATCAGACTTGGACCTGGTGAGCTGGAAGGTGGAGGCAGGCTAGCCAGGGGAGATAATGTAAAAATCAACAACTAGCTACCCTACTGTGATGGCTTAGGAGGTGGCAGGCATTGTACTAAGCACTTTTCTTAGATTAAAAATGAGGTAGGTGTTCCTATTACCCGCATTTGAAGAGGGGAAAACAAACTTAGAAGAATGAAAGTGGCTTGTTTAAGAGCAAATGGTGAGGTTGGATTGGAGTCCAGAGCTCAGGGGAGCAGGGTGTGGCCTGTAGGAACAGAGTTCCCCAATGGCCAGTGTCTCTGCAGTCTTAAGTCTCCAAGGGGCTGTGAGATGTGGCATGTTGAGCCCCGGTGGTCTTGGGACTCTGAGGACAGAATTAATACTTCAGGGGCTGAAGGTATCTAAGGAGATCTGTGGGAGTTTGGGGAGTCTCTGGGTGTCTTCAGAATCTGCTGGCAGCCACAAGGTGCTGGCTGGCTAGATTGTAGAGATCTGGGGAGGGGGTGGTGACTCTAGTGACAGCTTACTGTCTGGGGTCTTCACAGAGGACATGGTTCGCAGGCATCTGGTGAGATCTGGGTGGTAGGCTGGAGTGGGGAGATTGATTATATAACCCCTGTAGGGAGTGGGGAGATGATGGGTATGTAATGTCCGTGCTGGGTGTAGGGAACAGGTTCTGTGGGAGTCTGCTAGGTGATGGGATCTGGGAGGCCCCCCACTTCCTAGTGATACATAAGCTTCTGGGAGTTAAGAAAACCCTTATCTGATTTCCCTCTGCTATGGCAAGTGTTGGAGTTTTGGCAAAACTGCCCAATCTCCTAAGAACTGGGGAGGAGACTGGGCAAGCTGAGGAACAAGCCTCATATAGGCCTGCCATAGCCACTTGACACACAGCCTCAAACATGAACCTATCTCATGGGCAAGTCATATCCCAGGCCTGAGAAACTCGGCAAAGCCACACACAGCACCCTCAGCCACACACTACACTGAAGCTTAGACATGGGGGTGGGGCTACTTAGCCCACCTTTTGGAACATACAATGTGCAAGCCCCTCCCCTAATACACAGGACAGATGGGGCAGCAGGATGCCACCCTGGTCAGACCAGCAGAAACCCTCACCACAACCCCCGGATCCAGGGAGGTCCAGCCACTTCACTTCTTGGCTAGGTTTCCTGAGCAGGGCCTCAGTGACCTCTAACTCTGGAGCCAGCACCCATGACCTTGTAGTTTGGTGGCCTCCAGTCCTGGGATTCAGCCACCTGGATGTCTTCCCAGAAATGTTCCAAGAATGATCCACTTGGAGAAGATACCTTGAGAGGCATGGTCATCACCCCTGGGTTCCCAGTGACCCTCAGGTGGGTGGCAGGACTGGACAGGTCCTATATGGCCCTGAGGTGTAGAACTAGGATGTTTGAGAGGAAGGTATGGGAAGCCAGAATTTAGCTTGACATGAGTGAGACTTGTGTGACAGAGCCATCCACAAGGTTCTTCAGGAGTTGCCTGCCACTGAGAGTTCTGATAGAGGACACTCATCTCAGGTGTTGTCATAGACCCACCAAGGTGACCTTGAGGGACCTTGATGTTGGAACTTCCATTCCTTAGGGCAAAGGGGAATATGAGAATCTCCTTGGGGGGGTCAGGCCACTGACCACAAGTACCTTGTGCTTAAGTTCTCACACATATACACACCAGCACCCAGAGGAAGAAGAGGCTGCTGTTAGGAATCACAAGTCTTGGCCCACTTCTCCCTGCTCTCACCTCTTTGGGACTTCACCAAAGTTTGTCCCTGGAACCCTGGCATCTGGACTCCCAGACCCATTCATATTAGAGCTGGTGAGTTAGCAACCAGACCTGCTGGCATAGAAGCAGGGGGCTTAGACTGTTTAAGGCCTCTCCAGCGGGCCCCCAGAGGGATTCTTTAGGATCTTGGGGACAAAATGGCTCTGACATGTCACCTCCCATCCCCACTGCCACCTCCTGGAAACCTTAGATTTTTCAGGGTGCCATGTGAGAGTACGGGCTGGGTATCCCCACCAGGCTTGAGAATTTCTTCAGGGAGGGACTTGGGGTTCACCCTGCCATATCTAACCCATCCTGGAATTTCATCAGGGGCCTTGTAAAAAGAATGGGATGCACCCAAGAAACTCTCTAGAAACCCCAGCTTTGCCCAATTGGAATGGATAAAAAAAGCATAGGTGTTAATGGGGGCAACAGTAGCAGAGAGGGAGTGCTCGGGGACCGGGAACAGGGTATTTCCTTAGAAAGATCCTCAGGAACCGAGCAGCACTGGTGGTGCGAGGGGACCACTGGGCACAGACTGGCATCCCTGCCCTTCCCTCCACCCGCCTCCCGCGAGTCAAGAAACCAGGCAGCGAGGCTCTGGGGGCTGCGTTTATGGGGACAACCTGACAGAGGGCATGGTCCGTACAAAACCGGGAACAATACATACATATATATATTATATACAGAGACGCAGTCCTGCAGAGGGCGGGGCAAGGACCGCCAACCGCCAGAGAAACCGGAAGCGCCCGCGGCGCCACCCACCTGGCCCCGCCCCCTCCGTCTGCGGGGGCGAAGGAGGTGAAGTGCGCGGCCCGGCGCTGGGACAGCCAGCTCTTTCGGGGGGGTAGAGAAACGTCTGGGGGCGGGAAGGGGGTTGGGAAGAAATACTGATCGATGGCATGGTCTATTTATAGGGGACGGGGAGAAGCCAAAAGGGTTGGGACGGAGGTTGTCTGTTAAAAATGAACAAAAATCCAGGCTAGGGTAGGGGCATCAGGAAGGGGCAAAATGAGATGGATTCTGAAAGGGGAGGCGGACCTGTGTGTGGGGGGGTCCTCACCTCCCTTGGTCCAAGCCCCAATTTGGGGTTAAAGTGAGGAAATGAGTCAATTTCACTTAGAAAGCAGGCTGTCAGTAGGGCAGCCTTGGTCTCCAAAAAGTTTAGTAGTAAAATGTTGCCCTCCAGTCAAAACATTGGAAGGGTGTGGGTGTGGGTAGGGTGAGGCTGAATCTCTGGTGTTAGTACAAGGCTTCCATGTGTGGTCCAGGGCAGGGCCTGGCTCTCAGTAAGAAATGTTTCTCTTGCCTAAGACCAGGGTCTCTGCAGCCAGCCCCACTAAGCCGATCTCCTCTCCTTGGCCAGGAAACTGGATCTCAGAGAGGCCACAGAACTGTTCCAGGAAGAGGTTATGGCTATTTGGCACCAGGGAAGGGCAGGTGGGAGGCACAAGGAGAAACTGAGGGCTACTGCCCCCCTTTTCCTACTCTTACTCCCCTTTTCTTGAAGGATACATGAGAAATCAGTGCAGGGCCAGGCCCAGCCTCCAGGCTCTGGGGTGGACTCTCTCCCCCTGGGAGGGGAGACAGGGATGGGAGGAGGTGTGGAGGCATCCCCTTCCAGCAGGAGGATCAGAATGAAACAGAGACAGCACAATGATGGGGTAGGGGGAAGGGCCAAGAAGGTAGACTCTCAAGTCAAGGAGCCTCGTGGGCAGGGAGCAGCCTCCAGGTGGTGAAATGCTGGGAGAGCCCCCAGCCCCATTCCAGTCCAGAGACAAAGGCTGGAGGTTATAAAGTCTGGCAGTTTGTTCTGCAGTTCCTTGTGTCCATCCACCACCCAGGCCAGCTCTCGGCATCCCTTGGCCTCTGTGCCTCAGCCCCATGAAGTAAGAAGGAGGCCATCCTTCCAGCCACCTGTCTGCCCGGGGCCACCATAATGGGGCCTGTGATATGGGCCCTCTGGTCCCTGAAGCTGGGGGAGGTAGGGCAGAGGGGTGGGGGAGTTGGGGCACCTGTCCCCAGGCTGGTAGAGGGAGGGATGAAATATTGAGGACAGGGGAGGGAGGACAATGGGAGGGGATTAATTATTGTCTGGTCAAGGAAAGATTCCTGTTAAGTAGAATTGGAATTCCTCAGTGTTTGCAGGTTTCCTTCCAGTTCTGAGATCTGGAAAACAAAGGGGAGAGGAGGTAAGGCCTGGGTACCAGGCATGGGCCCTGTCCCTTCTGTCCCATTGGTGGGTATATGACCCTGAGCTCTCAGCCAGCAGCATGACTCCCCCTCTCCCCTCCAGGATCCAGAGTGGGTGTCAGATGGGGGCTTACCTGCTGCTCCCTCCATAAAGCCCTGCCCCCAGGGCACCCCTGGGCCTACCTTGTCCAGGAGCTTGTCCATCTCCTCCTTCCTAGCCAGCTCCGACTCCTCCAGAACCCGGCGCTGTGCGGTCTCCTTTTTCAGGAACTCGATCTCCCTGGCAATCAGCAGAGACAGACGGTGGGTAAGGGTGTGTAGCCTGGCTTCCATCCAGGAAGGATCCTCAACCCTATCCTTAGCTCTAACTGGACAACTCTGCCCTCTCCCTGTTCTCAGGTCAGGGAGGCCGAGGTGTTCCCATAGTCCCTGGGGTCTGGTCGTGCTGGCTCTGGTGCCTGGTCATTCTGGGCCCAGGTACCCCCAACACAGGCTCTCCAACTTCTGTGCTCCTCGCCTCCCTACTCAGCTGGGAATGGGGAGTGACTGCCACAAAGGCCCCTCTGTCCTCCCTGGGTCCAGGTCCCCCTCCCCCCGCTGGCCCCCTGGCCACATACTTCTGCTGGTAGTCCTTGATGAGGCGCTTGGCCTTGCTGTACTTGCGCTCCAGGGCCTGGTACTGGGCCTGGGTCTCCCGCAGGTGCTCATCCACAGCTTGGCACAGGCTCTGGGCCTCACCCCAGTAGCCCTCCAGCTTCTCCATGCGCTCCTTGTTCTCCTCCACACTCTGCTCCAGCTGGGCCTTCTCCACCCGCCACCGCCCCTTCTCCTGCTCCAGGCTCTGCAGCTGAGAGAGGAAGGAATGTCCCTGGGTTGGTGGGGGCCAGAGGGAGCCCAGGAGCACCCCCATCCTGCACTGGTGTCAAAGCCTCTGGATGATTCTGTGGATGTGGTGCCCACTGCCCCCCAACTACTAACTCTTACTTGGCTGAGCCTGAGACCTGGGAAGAGGTGGGACCTCAGCCTCAGAGCTCCCAGTGAGTCCCTGACACTGTACCACACTCCTAAAAGGCAGGAGGCTGGGTTAGTCACTGATTAGCTCTGTGACTTGGGGCAAGGCAACTTCTGTCTTACGTCTTAGTCCTCTGATCTGTAATATGGGACTGATTCCTGCCTTGCCACGCTCACAAAGGTGTCAGTGAGGTGGTAGATGGGAAAGAGCTGGGCAGGTAAAGGTCACCACTGCCCTCTGTCCCCTCTCTGCACCTATGGCCCTACTGACCAGTTCCTGCTTCTGTGGCTTCTTGAACAATCCTGGCTCCTCTCCCAGCTGCCAGGCTATGCCAGTGCGGACCTCCCAGCCCCAACAGCTCAGTCCTGGAGCCTCTGTTCTCTCTCTTACCTCCCACACCCCATTTGTGCACTCAGAGCTCTGAGCCCTGAGCTCCAGCCCAACATCACTTCCAACTCCTCATAGGCACCATGCCCCAAATCTGACCCCCACCCATGCAAACTTATTCCTCCTTTCCTGTCTAGCCCACTCTGTTCAAAGGTGCCACCATCTCACTGCCACTCCAGCGCTCAGCCTGAAGCCCCTACCTGATCCTCCAACCTGTTGGTTGCAAATGCCACACTTGTTCTCTATGCCCCAGCCATGTAGGCCTTCCTGCAGATCCTCAGGTTTGCCAGGTTCCCTCCTGGCACATAGCATTTGCCAGTGCTGTTACCTCTGCCTGGAGTGTTCCCATCTCCCCAGCTCCTTGCATCATCATTTCCCACTAGCTCACTCTTGGGTTCTCTGCTCAGTCGCTTCCCCAGAGAAGTCTCCTGTGAGTACCTCCAACAGCACAGTCCTCCCCACCCCCAACCCATTATCAGGTCCTGCTGCTCTAGGAGCTCAGTAACCCTGTCCTCTCCTACAAAGCCACATGTCAGTCTGTAACGATACAGTCATTGGTGTGCAGACTTTAAGCTGCACGAGGGCAAGAATCAAATCTACTTTTGCCTATCACAGGGACTGGAATAGTGCCGGGCACCTAGAAGGCACCCAATAGATGTTTATTGACTGAAAGCATGAACAGACCTTACTTCCCCTGCCCCTTCATGCTCTGCATCCACCCAGGAACATGGCCTGTCATCTCGACCTCAGAAATGCAGCTCCAACCCAACTTCCCCTTCTATAACCTCTGCCATACTCTGGGCAGCCCTGGCCCGCACCTGCCTCTAAGTTCGCTCGCCTCCTGGCTCACCTACCTTGTGTCCTCCCACTTCATAGGCAGTGTGACCTTCCCCCTTATGTGACCACAGGTCCAAGGCTGGAGTCCTTAGAGGGAAATCAGGACACTGCAGCTCCAGCCCACCCTGGCAGTCCAGCTCTGCTCCTGCCTCTCCCCCATAGGAACTGCTGCTACAGCCCACGGCCTCCGCCCAAAGCCAGCCTCCAAGCTCCAACTTGTTTTCTGCCAGTGATGCTTTTCTGCTGCTTCAGTCATCTAAACCCTGCCCTCCCCCAAGGCTCAGCTCCACTCTCCTCTCTCCATGCACAGTGGGTGTAAACCCACATGTGGGCGTGCACACACGTGTACCTGGGTGTACCATATCCACGTGGCTCTGTACCCCTGCCTCTCCCCACCACACTGGAAGCCCCACAGGAGTTAGGACTCCTAATGTCTGGGTCCAGCAGGGGCCCAATATAAGTTTTTAATATGAAGCCTGTGCATCTCCATGCCTGTGAGCGTTAGCACCCAATAGGCTTGTGTGGGTGTCTATGCATGGTGCATATGTGTGATTCTGTATGTCACGTGTGTCACCATTTGGAAGCGTCAGCATCAGCACCTCTGTTAGAAGGCACATGTCCTGTGACACTTTCGCGATGGCCATGCCTATGCATCTTACATCAGAGCAAGACAGAGGGGTCTACTACCCAGGGCAATGCGCTTGGGTGTAATACCATGGGAAGCATGGGCCCAGCATCTCTGTGTTCTATCTGTATAGAGAAGGTGTCTGGTGAATGGCCCCGGGTACTATGTGCCTGGGCTCTAGGTTGGCATGTGCCTTTGTGTATCTCTGGGCAGTTTGCATCTATCACTGGCCCTATATGTAGAGGACACATGTGGGACATGGACATGAAGACATCTAGAGCACATGAAATGTGTGTGCTTCAGTGTAATAGCTAATTGTGCAACCTTTTATTGAGCACCTATGATGTGTCAGACACTGCACTAAGGACCTTCCATATATCATCTCACTTAATCCTCACAATGATCCTATGGTGTTGGCACTATTATTACCCCATTTTATATTTCCTCACCTATAAAATGAGGCACAGAGCAGCAAGTGAATGGTGGAGCAGACAGGTCCAGAGCTCGAGCTCCTTACACGACCCTCCCCTGCCTAAGAATAGCTTGCTCTATACATGCTTTTGGGTAGTGGGTGGTAGGCAAGTGTCAGTGTGCAGGTGTGAGGGTGGGGGATCATCCTTCCAGCCCTCAGACCCTGTTCCTCCCCCTTCCACACCCCTCCTCTCACCTTTCTTTTCAGCTGCTGGATCTCAGCCTCAGTCACAGCATGCTTGATCTGGAGCTGTAGGGGAGAGGGGCAAGTGCTCAGCTTCGGCCAGGGTAGGCAGTGCTGCAGGGCAGGACCCTGGCTTGCTTTTGCCCTCCACCACCCCAGGGACCCCTTCCTCCCACCTCCTTGAACTTGTGCACCAGCTTCTCGGGCTCCATGTCCACAGGGGACAAGGCATCCTCGTTCTCTGCCAACTCGAACACCTCAATGGCCATCTCGCCACCTGGGAACGTGGGGCTCAGCTCCTCATCCTCGTCAGTGGCATACTCTCCGGTCTGCAAAGGAGACAGGAGGCCGTGCACTCTGCCCATCCCAGCTTCCCTCAGCCTGACAACCGGGGCTTAGATTGGCAATAGTCTGCCCATGTAAAACTGGGGCTACTTACGGGGTTTGGTTCATGTCACCCCCATCAGACTGGGGGCCATACCACCATCATTGTTTGTGTCTTCCCCTGAAGGCATGGGTAATTCCCCCGTAAGACTGAGACCCCTGAAGCCATAGCCTGTGCTCTCCCCATCACACTATGCACCCCCTGAGGTCTGGAGCTGTCTCCTTCCTCAGATTATGTCCCCTGAGGTTAAGGGCTATGCCGTCCTCTCAGAGTGGGGGCTCTTGGAAGAACTATATTTTCCTTGTAGGACCAGGACGGCTCTCTGAAGAAAGAGGGTGTGACTCCTCCTTCGGGGTTCCTGGAGGAAAGGGTCTGCATCACCTCCCTCAGACTGGGGGCTCCCCTAGGAGAGGGAATGGTGCTCTGGGCTGCTTCACAAGGCCTGGGAAAGGGGCAGAAGCAGAGGACGTCTGTAAAGCTCCATCCAGCCACCAGGGGGCGGTGATGCTCGCAGCCAGGGCAGGAATCCCTACCTCCTCATCATCCTCCCCATACTGGGCGTATCTCTGCTCCATCATCTCCCGCTGCCATCGCTCCTGTTCCAGGGTCTGCTGAATTAGCTGAGCCACCTCGCTCTGCTCGCCAGGCCGCTCCCGGCCAATCATAAACCTGCGGGGGCACGGGTGTCATTCCCTTTGCCTCTGCCCTCGGCTGGGTAATGCCACCATCCTCCCCGCTGGTGCTCCTCTCTCCACACCCAGGTCCTCCCAGGGGAGGTGAAATGAGAGGGCTGAGTCCAGAGGCTGCAGAATGTTAATAATGAATAGGGGAGCTGGGGGCCCTTATTGGGTTTCCTTCCCAGGAGAGGCAAAGACCCACTAGCCCTCCTGGCCAGTTTTGGGGGAGGGGTGACGTCAGCCAAACTTCAGGCTGAGTTGTAGGGGACATGAGTTTAGGAGCTGCCAGTGTAGGGCTCTGACCCCACCATGTGGGAGAAAACAAAGCAGGGGATGGCACAGATGAATCACTCCGGCAGGGCAGGGACTGTGTAGGGGTATCTTGTACAAGCTCCAAGGCCCTGAGCTTCAGGAAGGGGCGGGATGATGGTGATTGGAGATTAGGATGGAGAGGAAACAGTGGAACTTCCAGGCACCAGCCCCTCCTCTCCGTGGCCACCCACATCCTGTTTCTCTCTACCACCCTTTCCTGGGGGCAGTGCCCCTCTTGGAGAGGGCAGGGAGTGGTCCCTGAATGTTTTTGCCAAAGAGGGACACAGGAAGCATCTACACAACCCCTTAATTGACAGGCCCAGGGAGGAAAGCACTTCCAGGATTACACAGAGCAGGTGAGGAGGAAGGGACCCCAGTTTGCATGGCATTCCCCCTGTACATCTTGGTTCTTCAATGAATGAGTCAGGACAGGCAGGGGGAAGAATGAGCCCATGAAGCCAGTTTGGAGCTGCAGTGGAGAGTGGGCCTCAAGTGCTGGTGGCGGTCAAGGGCTCAGGACAGGAAGGGAGGCTTGAGACAAGGGATATGGGCACAACAATTCCTTTGGGCAGGGACACAGTGGGACCTCCTCTATACACTGGGCCACACAGAACCTTAACTGTGTGTGGGCAAATGGGGAGAGTGGCTAGATGAAGCTGAGCCTCCTGCCTGCTCC